ACCACTACTAACTTATCCGGTTAGGAGCCTAAGTATCTCACATGTTTTGGGGCACACATCCGAAAATAATTCAAAGACCACTCTTCCAGCTGAAAAAGAAGGTAATTCATTTAAATTTTTTTATTAATTTAAAATATTAAATACTTCTTTATAAATGTTAACTAATATTCTTACCAGGTTGATTGTTAATGGCAATGTCAAAAAAACATCGAGGACGCTGAACCTTTATTCCCATGGCTCCAAGACTGCAATCTATGAGTAAAATACAATTTCAGAGAAGCAGACTAAAACAGCAAAGATTTTTCACAAATTTCTGGAAAAATTATTCTGTGGAATTTAACTAGAAATGTAGCTTGAATTTATTTTGGTATTTATTTCTATGAGGTAAATCACGTGGATTATTAGTGCTTTCATTTTAGAGATTAGATTGCATTTTGTGAGGCAAATAGAAAAGACTTGAAAGCTAAGTCTTAACCATTATTATGTAATCAAATTTCTGTTCTATAAACCAACTACAGATTACCAGCCCAAATAGAAAATTGTATGAAGTCTGTATGATTAGTGAACTCAACAGATTACCTTTAAATAGGAGGAAAAGAAAAACAACAATCAAAACCCCCCCCCAAAAAAACAAACAAGAAACCCGGGGACAACTGATCTAATTCCTTTGCTTCTGGAAAACGAAAATGAGAGTTCTGATTAAAATGCGAGGCTTGGCTGGTCCGATGGTAGTGAGTTATCAGAACTTACTAACATTAGTGTTACTAAAGTTGGTATCCAACCTCCCACTGCTAAATTTGAGTGGCTAAAAAAAAAAAAAAAAAAAAAAAAGGGGACCAAAAAAAATAAAAATTCCAGAGAGAAAACTTAAATTTGGGGAAAACATTATAACCAAATTTTAGAATATCAAAGAGATTTTTTAAGATTTTCATTGGAAAATTTTGGTTATTGTTACTAAGAAATATTGCTGGGTCTCCTTTAATGAAGGTTAAGATTGAGCTATAAAAGTTCCTATTTTAGCACTACAACTAAACTCTTTCAAATAGTATGCTGTACAAACATCCCCAAAATAAAAAAAATCCATCACCATAAAAGGTATACAAACATAAAATTTTTCACAAGAAAATTAACCTTCAGATTCATTGAAGGTAGCTGGATATTAACACACTGTTTAATGAATAATCTTATTGAGTCAATAGAGAATAATCAAATAAACAGGAAAAAAAACATTAAAAACATAATTTAAATGTAAACATTTTTACCTTCAAAAAATCCTCCATATATAGATTCCCCTCCTCGTCCATTTCCTAAGAACGAAAAACACAAACTCTTAATACTCTCAAGAAAGTGAGCTCCTCAGAGGTGCTACCTAAACAATATACTTCTTAAAAAGTAGATGCTCAAATGATTCTGAATCAACAATACTCAAAGGATCATACTAAATCATAAAAGATATGTTATAAATATGACAAAGACTATTAATATACATGGAAAAAAGAACTTTCAGATGCTAAAGATACTTATCCAGGTCTTTTAACAGGAATTAATGACTTTTTTCCAAAGTGTCTTCAAAAATACAGTTCCAGTGTTTTTACAATAAAAAAGTATAGGTAAAAATTATATTGTAGTAAGGATTACTAGTTGTGACAAAATCAAACACATAACACTGATAGATTACTAAGAGATAAACATAGTGTTTTGTTTTGGTATCCAGAAGCAAATTTCTGAAATTAATTTCATGCATCAAAGGTGAAATTATTTTTTATGTGCTTCCTTTTTTTATATATTTCCGTGAGTACTCCTAATTGTTTGATGAAAGACTAAATGGAGTGAGAAGAAAACTGGACTAAGACAAGGGACTTGTATAACTTTGAGATCTATGATACTTAACAAAAGAATACATGATTTTTTTAAAAGTCTGACCTTCACTGAAGTCACCACCTTGAACCATAAAATCCTTGACAACTCTGTGAAACAGACAACTCTTATAATGTAATGGCTTCTGAGTTGATTTCCCTGTCCCCTTTTCACCTACAGAGAAGAAAAATTAGTATGACATTTAGTAGAAAAGAAATCAAAGATGCAGTATTAAAGCAAAATAAATGAAAACTTTTGCCCTGTAAAATACGTCTCTTTTCAAAATACTCCTCATACTAAGAAATAAAAATAATGAAAAATTAAAATTTAAAAATAAAAAGAATAAAATATATACTCTTGATACTTTATAGACTTCTTTAAAACATAGAATTTTTACTCCTTTCAGAATTTTTAAAAAATTCATTTAAAAACCACCCATATATTTCTGGAGAGTACAGATAATTATATTCAGATAATATCCCATTACAACCAATACTTCTAAGAATTACTTTCATGCCCTAGTCAATGCTACATGTTAAGAAGTTATATGCTTCGGAGACAACAAAGTGTTGAAAGCAACAAAAATACAAATAACAAAATAA